AGTTGTCTTCTGCAGTATCGCTCGCCGTATACCCGGCTCTCACGGTTCCGCAAGAGTTAGAGGTACTCAGGTTAGACATTAGAGTACTGTCATTATCTAGCTCTTCCGAATTTTTTTAATTTATTATATTTTATATAATTAATTTAATCAAATATTTTTAAATTTTTTTATTTATAATAAAATTTATTATATAATATAAAAAATAAATAATTTTTTTATATTTATATTTAATAATAATTTATAAATCAATAAATAAATATTTATAATAATATAAATTACCAATTTAAAACATTAATTAATTTATTTGTAAATTCTTGTTTTATTTTATCTTTTTCACTTAATACTAAATTTAAATTTTCAATATTATCATCATTATTATTATTGCTATTATTATTATTATTACTACTATTATTATTATTTTCATTATCTTTATTATTATCTATATCTATATTATCTTCAGTTAATATATTAGCTTCTTTTTCTAATCTATTTATAAAAGATTTTACATTATACTTAATTCTAGCTTCATAATAATTATAACAAAATTTACATCTTCTTTCTATAACATTATAGTATATTATATGATATCCATAATCACAAATTAAAACTTCTGCTTCATATTGGTTTTTTAAAAGAGTATCATATAAATTACAATTAATTAATGAAGGAATTTTTTTAGTAGAATATTCACAAAGAAGTTTTTTTGTTAATATAATAATATCAAGTACTGGTAAATAATAATAAAAAGATTTATAACTTGTATTTTGATATTCTAATCCTTTAGTTAAATATATTTTTTTAAAATAATTTAATAAAAAAATAAATATTTTTTGAATTAAATAATCTAAACTTGATTGTGTATAAGAATATTTTTTAAAATTTTGAAAGTTTTGTTTAAATTGATTATGGCAATATGAATCTAATATATATATATAATAATTAATTTTATAATATTAAAAAATATAATTATAAAAAAAATTAGAACATTTTATAACTTACCAATTACAAATACTTCTCTAATTATTTCTTCTGTAGTAGAATATTTTGTTGTATAAGCTCTAATTCTACTATGTATATTTTCTATATAATAATCATTAAAATAAACTAAAAAACTTTTAATAGATTCATTAAAAGGATAATTATAATTTGTCCAATAAAAAATATCTGAAAGAAAAGCTAAAAGAGCCTTATTATAATTTTTTCTAGACTATTTTAGTACAAATATCCAAATTCTAAAAATTGTTTCTATATATTCTATATATGAACCAGATCTAAATAAAATTGCATAAATATCTAAAGTAGCAAGAATTATATTATAATAAATTAATAGCCATTTTATATTCATATCTTTGCAATATAATCCAAATTTTTCTAAAATTATTTTTTTAATTTTTTTGCTATACTTTATATGTTAATTCTAATAAAAGATTAATTCTCCAAGGTTTAGGTTTTTTAGCTAATTTTTTTTTATTACCAAATACAAAATAAAATAGTTGTTTAAAAAATTCATAATTAATTATTAATGCTGTTTTTTTACTATTTAATATAATATGAAGAGGACCAATAATTGGATGAAAATTTTTATAAACTTGAGAAATATTTGTTGCTAATTGTTTAATTTTTAAATATGTAATAATTTTTCTAATAAATACTTTACTGAAACTTGCAAAATTAAGTAGTAGGTGTATTGCTAATATATAGTAAATGTATAGTAATAATAAAATAATTATATAGTAACTTTAAAGCTAAAAAAAAATTAACAGTAGTAGGAATATTGCTAATATATAGTTAATGCAAGAAAAATTGCCACTACCAAGCAACTATATAGCTACTTTATTATTATTTTATAGTTTTAAAGTTGCTAAATTAGAAGTTTCTGTAAAGTAATTGTTTGGACCAATTTGTAACTATTGGAATTACATTTTGATTTAAATAATTATTAAGTAAAAGAACATTAATAATCATTTTAAGAGTATTAATATAATTATCAAATAAATATAATTCTAATTTTTTAAAATCTACAAGCTATCCCTTAAACTGTTAAGTGTCCATATTTGGATATTTAAATTTATAGCCATCATGTGAGTTTGTATATTTTGTTTGGGTTGCCGCACTGCAGCTATGATTTGTATCATGTGGCTTGATTCTTTGAGAGTCTCTGTAGCCAATTAGAATAAAAATTTGGTAGAATAACTTTTTACAGAGCTCTATTTATATTTAGAGTTCAAATTTGAATACTTTATTGGGACGATTTAAGGGATAAGTCTTTTATTTATCTTTTTTCTTTATATTTTAAAATAGCATCTTTATATAAATAAATTGTTAAATTATCCATACTTTCAAATTTATCTAATTCAAGAGTTAAATAAGATATCCATTGAGATTTTGAATAATTATAACTTAAATCAAAAAGTGAACTATATATTTGGTTTAACTATTTACAAAAATTATTAGTATCAATATTAATTGGATTAAATAAAGAAATATCATTATAATTAGCTAAAATAGGTATTGAAAAATTAACTTTTTTAGCTATACGAATGCAAAATAGTTAGTTGAAGATAAAAAAGTATCATTTGGTCTATGTATTTCATAAATTGTATGATAATCATCAAGATTAAATATATATAAACAATCTATCTATAAAATATAAAATATAAAATAATAAATTATAAATTATAATAATATACTATTAAAATTGTATAAAAATACTTACATTATCATTAAAATATTTACAATTTTTTTCAAAATAATCTTCAACAATTTGTTGTTTATATCTTAATACAGTTTTAGATAAAACTATAAGTCCAGTATTTGATAAAATATTTATACCTTTATATGAAGTTCTTGCTAAAGCTAAATAAAGCCCAATATCTAATTTATAACTATTTGCAAATTTATTTCTTAAACTAGCAAAAAGATAACAAAATAAAACAATGGATTTTTTTGCTTCTTCTTGATTATAAAAACTTCTTGTTTTTGGTATAAGATCTTCAACTATTTTATTAAAAAATCTAGTTAATTTAGGTTTATTTTGTTCTAATATTTATTTAAATTTAATTAGATCATATTCTAGATTATTTTTAAATTTTAGTTACTGATTATAAAGTGCTAAAGTAAGAAGTTGTAATTTAGTTGCAAAATTAATTTCTATAAATTTAAATATAATAATTTTAATTAATTATAAATATATAATTTAAAATATATATTATATATAGTATATTATATATATTAATTTTTAAATACTATTAGATATATTATTTTCATTAATATTTTTAAAATTTTTATTTATAGTTTCAGAATCTTCAATAATTTCTTCAAATATTTCATCTTTTTGATTTTTTTGCAAATATTCAATATTTAAAACTAAATTTAAAAAAACTTGTTTAGAAATACATATTTTATCATCTAAAATTTCTAAATAAATATTATCCTATTTTAACTCAGAAGATTTTTCTGTTTTTTGTAAATTTTGAAAAGCTTCATTAATTTTAGAATAATTAGGATTATTTCTGTTTGACTCTACAATAAGAAGATAATGATGATTATATAATTAATATTGATTTAGTAAAAGATGAGAATATTCTAATATAAACAAAGTTCTACTGTTTTGAGCCTTTTTTGCAGCAAGTTCAGTAAATTTACAAAATTTCAAAGTATTATATTGACAATTTTTAATTGCATATAGACCAAAATTTTCTTTTTGTTATAGTATTGTTATAAAATTAAAAATTTAAATTTTAAAAATTATAAAAAAATAAAATAAAAAATATTGTAAAATATAATTAAAAAAAGTAG